AATCCGTTAAAAGCGTCGATCTGTTCCTGTCCCCACACAAACTCTACTTTCCCGGTCAATTTCGTTAATGGCTTGGCGATCAACCCAAAGCCTTCTATGAATCTTCTGTAGAAGTTCACGAAACCCAAGAATGCTTGTACTTCTTTCTTTGATTTGCATTCTGGCCATTCCATGATTCCTTTTACTTTTACCGGGTCCATGCGGATTTCATTTTCTGAAATGATAAGACCTAAGTACTCTGTTGAGGTCTCTTCGAAATCGCATTTTTCTGGTTTTAGGTAAAGGTTGTTCTTCCTTAAGATATCTAACACTCTGCGTGTCATTGCGCGGTGTTCTTCAATTGTTTTTGTGAAAATCATGATGTCGTCGAGGTATATTACGACTTTTCCGTCATCAATCAAATCTTTGAATAGCACATTCATCATGGTTTGAAATGTCGCTGGCGAGTTTGTGAGTCCAAAGAACATCACTAATGGTTCAAAGAGCCCCCTATTCGTTCTGAAGGCTGCTTTGTGTTCGTCTCCGTCTTTGATTCGGATGTTGTTGTATCCCCATCTGATATCTAACTTCGTAAAGTATTTCGCGCCCCTGAGCTTGTCTACAAGTTCATTTATCAAGGGTAGCGGATATCTATTTTTGATGGTTATATCGTTTAATCTCCGATAGTCTTGGACGGGTCTGAGTTTTCCATCTTTCTTTTTGATGAAGAAGAACGGGGATGCAAATTGAGATTTGGAAGGTCTAATTCTTCCTGATTCGAGATTTTCGTTTATGAATGTATCTAATTGTTCTTGTTCACCTAAAGCCAGTGGATAACATTTGCAGTCCAGAGTATGGTCCCCTGGGATGAGTTCTATAGCGTGATCCCATTGGTGTCTCTCTGGCAGTGCATCAAATGATTCCTTATCGAATACGTCTTTGTAATCGTGAAGGTGTTTTGGAACTATCTTCTTGAATCCTCCTTCTTTCTGATCTTTACCAGCGGCCTCAGCAAGCTTCTGAGCTGTTGTGCCTTGTGCCCTAATATGGTAGTAGTGATCATCAATAGAAGTATCTTCGTAGTTCATTAGATTCACTTGGATCAGCTGATCCCCATCTGAGCGATCTACTTCCGAAAAGTATGTGTCAGGGTCTTCTTCCGGATCAAGGAAGTCAACCTGTCGTTTGCATTCTTTCGGGCATCTATCAAAGTTCAACTCCGACTTCTTCCAGTCTATAGTGGGATTGTGCTTCGTTAACCACTCATGTCCAAGGAACATGCGTCCACTCCCTAAGCTTGTTACGGCAAAGTGAATGTTCTCTTCGTGGTCTTCTATGCTCATCCGTAATTCTATAAATTCTTTGATAGCACCATCTTTGTTAAGTGTGCCATCAGTGTTATATACTGGAATTGGTCTCGGTATCTTCTTTGTCTCGTAACCTTGTTCTTTTACGAACACTGAGTCTATGCAGCTCCCTGTGCATCCACTATCTAAGAGAGCTTCGATCGTCGTTGATCGGTTTGTGTCAAGAGTTGTGAGTTTGCAAGTAATGTTCATCTGATTTCCTTGCGTTCCCCTAATGTATTTCTTTGGGGTGTGTAACTCTGATAGAGCGAGTTCAGCATCGTGTAGCGTTAATGCATTTAACTCTTGTATCGTCTCTATTGTAACTTCTCTGCTTCTCTTTTGGTGCGTCCAGATGTTGAGAATACCAATGGATCTGTCTTCCTTTTGGTCTCGTAATCTTTCAGCAACCCATAGTGGCGTCCATGCCGCTGTCAGTCTCTTTCTCTCTTTGTGGTCTAGGTTTTTATTAGAGGTGTTCCTGACCTCTTTGGAACTGGTCGAACCATCAGTTACATCAGTGCTTCCCAATTGAGTCACTGCTTTCTGTGGTTCTGTTGTTTCCAATGAAGTGCTGCCCGATTGAGTCACTTCCTTCACAAATTCTTTTTTAGTTACTGCGCTTTTCTCTTCTGAGTGCGCCGTAATCTCTTTGTTTGGGATCTTTCCAACCCGTTCCCTATTCAGGTTCACATCTTTTTTAGTTTCTTTTTCTTTCGATCTTAGATCTGCTGCGTCTTTGGCTAATGCAATTTCATTTTCATGATCGGTATCATATACAGTAGACGGTGAGCAGGAATCTTCGATCGACAAAGAAGAGAAACTATTTATGAAACTTTTGTCCTTAGGCACAGTCGGTTGATGTGTTACCGCTGGCCTCTTCAAAAACCCTGAAGGATCTTTGCTCTTTCTTCCGCACTCATCTTTGGCAAGAACTCCCTAACGTTGAATTGGGGTTTCGCGTGCGCTTCTTTTTTACATTCGAAGGATCGGTGTCCTTTTTCTCCGCACCGGTAGCAGAGCCCTTTCTGTCGGTACTCCGCTTTGTCGACCTTCATTGGGTCACCGGCTTGGGTATAAAGGTACCCGCTACCGTCCTTCTTTCTCTCGACCTTTGGCTCGGTCTTTCCTCCTCCATCTTGCTTCTTTTTCTCCGTGCTTCTGAAGCTCTCCTTCTCCGCCTCTCTGTGTCGCCATAAGTAGTCAATGCGGATCAACTCCTTTTTCCACTCTTCGTAGTTGGCTGGCTCCCGGCCGCCGTATATTACCTGATTGACCAGGGGTTCATTCATGTTTCTACGTAAGAGCGAAATGAGGAAGTCCTCATTGGCTGCTTGGAGGTAGTTAGCCTCCCTCCTCAGTTCTTCGAAATGTTCGAAGTGCTTCTCTGCCGTGTTCTTTCCCTGGCGCAAGATCATAATATCATTGCGGGCGGCGAGTTGCTCGTGAACGTTCTTGAACCGAGTCTCCATCTTAGTGGCAAACCACTCGAAACTCTCGTAAGTGGATTTGAGGTTTTCTCCTCGCATCCTCTTCTCTATCTTTGTCTCCATCCACTCCGTTCTGAAGGCAGCCGCTGCTCCTCCTGTCATAAAAGAAAGCACATAGGCGATCTTTCTTTTGTCATCCGCGAAGTACTCCTCGTCATCCTCGTAGTTTAGCATTAAGGCCTCGCGGAAAGCCTTGTACTTCTTTCGGTCTCCATCGAAGTTCTCAGGCTTCTGGAGTGCCGTTCTCGTTCTATCTACGCGTCTCGGCTGCGTACTGGGTGGCGTGGGTGCGGATGCGGCGGGAGCGGACGTAGAAGAATTCGACGTAGCTAACCTCAGCTTGGCTAGCAATTCTTCGACTTCTTCTTTCGCCTCTTTCAGCTGCGTTTCGTAAAGATCGTGGAGCCGTCTCTGCTCCTGTTCTATTCTGGTCTGAATGTACTGTTCCAGTCCAGCTTCCTGCGATGTTGGTGCTCGTGGTTCCAACGGTGGGAGTGCACCTGACAATTCTCCCATTCCTATCTCTGATGTGTCCGGCTCTTCGCGCGGACCTCGCCACTCTCCGAATGCTTCTGTCGTCATGATCTGGGTAGGGGGTGTGGTAGCGGGTTCTGATCGGTTCTATTTCTGGGAATGTAAAGTAAATTTCCCAAGCTAATCTGTTCTCGGAGTGAAAGTGTTCTTCTGCTAACCACTCTTCGAATTTCCCAGGTTGCATACAAAAGAGTTTCCCGATGATAAGTCGGATCAACACTTTCTAATGTAAGATCAACCGGTCTATCTGTTTCCTTCTTTAGTCAAGCGGTTCCTCTTCTGTCCCGCACTGACTATGTATGTAACTAATTCTATCTGATATATCGGTGTTCTAAAGTATAGTAACTGAGGTCCGAACGGTTGTCTCAGTGATACCCAGCGAATAACCGCGTGCAGGTCTTTTCCAACTGGCGGACTCAAGTGAGCGGCCTGGTCAGAAGGGTAAAGAAGTTTTCTAAACTAAGTAATACCTATCGGGCTCCACGCCGTCAAGGGTTCTAGCTACAGGGTTGGAAGGGGGAGTGAGGGGGATATCGACAAACGACTCTGTGGGTGAGACGTTGGCAGGGAAAAATGAAACAATGGTAGATGGTCGGGTGATAGGTGTGATGATGGTTGGTTTAGTGATATAGACGTAGAGTTTGGCAATGCCAAAGAGTATGATTGCGATGAGAGGGAATAGGGTGATGATTAGGATAGCTGTGCTTTTGCTCATCAACAGGTGTCGTTCAAAGTTGTAGATTATGTAAAGACCCTAGCTGTTATGCCGGTAACCCGAGCAGCGTAGGACTTAAATCACACAACAAGTGTTGGACAAGCAAGTATAAGAGTAAATCTACAACTGGGGTATGTACATGGATATCGTGCTAGTTATATAGAAGAAAGCATGAGGCTACGGTGAGGTATGACGTAGCGTATTGGTCAGTAACATGTGTAATGCGTGAGGCTGATTGGTAATGAGTATTACTAATGTGTCACGTGATTACTAGATAAGATAAGATCAAAGAGAGATTAGATTAGGTGAGATAATAGTCTCTATCTCGCGATTAGATAAAAAGGATGAGTCAGATGGATACGATCGTGACATATTGGCTGAGCTGCTGACTTTTCAAAGAACTAGCAATGTGTCTGGCACGAACCATCCCAGCTATTTCTCAAAACATTGGTAAAATTTTAGTTTATAAAGAACCAGCAACATGTCAGCCTCAAACTGGGCACAAACCATCCCAGCTATTCCTCAAAACATTGGTAAAATTTTAGTTAATCTATCACAAAGTATATATTTATAATATTTGAAGTATCCCAGCCAGGTGGCTGAAATTATGCTGTTTGTGTACGAATCATACCTCTCCCGGCTTGGCTGGAACCCTTTCATGCCCGTGGTGCAAGTCCTTACTCCGTCTCTGTGATGCCAACCACATGACCATGTACATATGTGGATAAATAGGCAGATCACTCTATATTGATACCAAATAGGAAATCCCTGCCAAATGGTCTACTTTTGGATCCTACCAATGCATGGGGCTAGCCAACGCCGCAAGAATTAGAATAATACTTGGCGGGCCGGGACTCCCTAGAAGGTAAATCGTCTGAGACTGAAGCCGGGAGTTGGGGCAATGTCCTCAATTTAGCACTAGTATACTACACCTCCGAGAATCCCCCAGTGCACAGGGTCGATAGATAACCGTCAGTCTCTGATGGTCCATGTAAACTCTGTGGGAACATCTTTGGGGCATCGTGGAGACGCTGACAAGGATTATTGGCTTAAATTGCCGTAATGCGGCTAGAAAATCAAGTTCACCCCTCAAGTGTACTGTGACAATCGTCGGTTTAACCTTTGATTTTTTTGCTTTCAATCACGTTCTCTCATGACTTTGGAAACTACTTCAAGCTCCCCTACAGTCGTTAGTCCAAACGTTAGCACGCTCAACCTCGATTCTTCTACTCAAGGCTCGGACGCCGAAAAGCAACTTGAACCTGTAACCGAAAGGCTTCCAGAACTCGAAGTGCCTCCAGATGGCGGAATACAGGCATGGCTCAGCGTCTTCGGATGTTTTCTAGTGTACTTCTGCACACTTGGGTACGTATGTAACGCATACTCAAACTTAGTCCTTGGTTGAGGAGACAGCTATACTAGACTCATCAACGCTTTTGGCGAATTCAATGTTTTCTACACGGATGACTACTTATCTAATTACTCCCCCACGCTCATAACCATGATCGGTGCACTACAAGTCTTTGTTCTCTATTTCCGTAAGCCCAGTCTTGCTCTTGGCTCTAGTAATTTATTCAATTGATCGCTCGTATAGTTGGCGCCTGGGTAGGCCCAATATTTGATGCATATGGACCGCGCTATCTGATCCCAGCCAGCGGACTTGTTATGGTCTTTGCGCTGTGCATGTTGTCTATCACACAACCTCACCGTATCTGGCAGCAGTACTTGACAGAGGCGATCCTGCTAAATGGTGGAGCAGCATTCAGGCAAGTGAACACGGATCACATCTTCGAGTTTGTGCGACCATGCTGACAATTTCGATTTCTACTAGCTTTTATCCTTCGATGGCTGTTATTGGGCATTGGTTCAAGCGGCGTGCTGCATTTGCATTGGGTTTTGTAGTTGCTGGTTCTGGTGTTAGCGGTATTGTGTTTCCAATCATGATCAACAAACTCTTACCAAAGATTGGCTTTGGTAAGAACTATCTTTTCTACGAACTTCTCGTTCATCACTCTAACCCCAATTACATAGCATGGACCGTGCGCGTTTGTGCACTCATTGTATTTGTCTGCTATACTATTGCAACATTCACCATCAAAACTTGTCGTTCAAGCAAACCTTTGCCCAACAGTTTATTCAAGGTTCTCGATTTTGGCGCATTCCGGGATCTACGATTCACGACCTTTGCAATTGGCGCCTGGTTTAGCACGTTCAGCGTTTTCAATCCTTACTTTTATATTGCAGAGTACTCGACGGCCATGAATGGCCCTTCAAGCATCTCAGCATATCTACTTGCCATTATCTGCGCCCTTTCAATATTCGGTCGCATTCTTCCTGGGCTTGTTGCGGATAAATGGGGAAGGTAGCTCAAACTCTTACATTGCAAGGCTACCAGTCTGATTGAAATGCTTTCCTATCCAGGTTCAATACAATGACGGCTTTCACTGCTATTAGCGGCATTCTCGTTCTCGCTCTCTGGTACACCTCAATCTCACGCACGAACGAGATAGTCTTTTCTGTCTTATATGGCTTTGCCTCGGGCCCATTCTTCACGCTACTTGCAGTACGTCTTCTCCGCAAGTGTTCGAATCCACTCATAACAATGATCTCCACATAGGGCTGCGTCGCAGCGATAACTCCCATCGAGAAAATTGGTGCGCGGATAGGTATCCTCTTCGCCTTTCTCTCGACCGGCGCGCTTGCAGGCTCACCTATTGGCGGTATCTTCGTGAAGACTCAAGACCGCGAGAATTTCCAACACCTTATTTTATACACGGTGGGTGTTTCAATGTTAGTTGTGCGACGGGGCTTCCAGTTGACAGTTCCACTGGCAGGGAATCATGGCCCTCGCAGGATCATTCTTTTTTGGCCTTGCCCGCTTTCAATGTAGTCGCAAGCTCTTTGTGGCTGTATGAAGGTAATCTTATGTAGTAAACTTCAATCTTGAGCGGTAAATTCTGAGCGGTAAATTCAAGTAATCAATACACGTGCCAAAATATTCCGAAGAGCCCATCTGTTACTCCATCCGATCATGCTGAGGAATACCCCCTTTCGTTTGGGTTCAGCGCTGATTTTAACCCCATCTTACAGAACGAAACAATTAATATGGGCAATGCCTGGTGATGCCCTTGGAGATCGGGAAGTCGGTTCGTTGATGCTCACTCCCCCACGGCACTCCCCCACGGTCTCTCTCAATGCCACTTGAGCATGTCCGCACTCAAAGGCTCCGTGGTTCTTGGACAACGGTAATGACTTTTGGAATGGAAGAAACGGACATCTTGACCGACCTTTCTCCCAATCAGCTCTGGAACATTTGTCCAACTTAATTGAATCAGTCCCCAGGGAGATTTGTCTTCTGTTTATCATCAGCTCGGTGTATGGTCTTGATTATCTTCCTTGGGTTTTATTAGTGTGCTTATTGTGTTGTTTTGCGGTCATAGTGGTAGGTGTGAGACTGTAATCGAAAAAGATACCCTCGCATTAGGAGCGACCAACGTGCGTTCGAGCGCGCAATCCAGATCCAACATACCCTCTGCTTGTTACCGACCCCACCAGATGAAGATCAAACACAAATTGTGTATCAATCGAAAGGATCTCCGAGTCGCATAACTAATCTAACAGAGGTGCAACTAGTGGGGCGGAGTACTGTGACACTTATGCTTCAGGTATTAACGATATGCCATAGGTGCCCTCAGCCTCATCAAAGAAAAGTTGCTTACTGTTGATGTCCCAATGGGCAGCGAGAAACCCATCTGGGTTGGCGTTAGTGCGTATGTAGTGGTTGTTAGATAAGAAACTGAAGGCGATGGTTATAGAACACATTACCCTTACCCAGTACTGTCCTAAAGGCGGTATCCTGCGAATGAGCCCAGATACTTTGACTGCGGCGATCAGTTCTTGAATAAGGCCATTGCCTTTCTCGTTTCCCCTCCTGTCTGGCAAAAGCCATGTTCTTCGTATTAAGGTACAACCAGTCTTTCGGTCGGACGTGGTCATGAAATGATGGCAGAGTACATAAGGGGTTAGTGAGCAAGTGCTCCGCAAGAAAACACGGCGACTTTTGCAGCACTTCTAAAGGTGGACCTATACCTATGAAATGATCACTGATGGTCAGTGATTCTCCAACTACTGGTCCGTGCTGGCTATTACAGGAACTCGTGGAGATCGTTCGTTGTTGGCTTAGGGAGACTTTTTTTTACGACGGGTGGGGCTGTGTCTAGGCTGTGCCTCCTGAGCTGCGGAGTCAGACTGTATGCGATGGAAGATTATCAGGAGACACACACTTGACTTCGTACTCAATAATTTATATGTGCTCATTCTATGCAGTGAATCCCATGACCACCGCGGATGTAGAGAGGAAGACTGCAGCCGACCTGATAACTGCCTTTTAAACGAGTAACGCACAACCTCCAGTAGCCTTTTATCGCAGACTTTCTAGAAATGTCAAATTGACGCCCAGAGGAGTGGTCCACCGCTTGGCGACTCTTTTCAACACAACGAACAAAGTATCTTTGGGGCCAATCAGCTATAATAGGAAGGAGGTTCGTACACGCGACGACTGAACTTTACTTACAATTCTGCTTCCATTCTGCCGTTTACCTTTGTGCGTGGAGCTTCAGGTTTTTTGTGCGTCGCTATCCAACCTATGCGAGAACATAGGGCCGTATGTGAGGGTGACAGCCACTCCTATCATCGAACGAAAGCGCCGAGCACTGTTGGAGCCTCGTCTACATAGTTCATACTTTGTAGCCGAGCTACATCATCCTCCCACGATAGATTGGCCTTGTTGGCGAAGCTTGTAGATGCGTGAATGTTCCCTCGATTATGAGTGCCTTTTGATACGAGCGCTCGTACAACGGAGTTCACCTTTTTTATCATGAGAATCTAGAACGCGGAAATATACCCAAGTGTAGATTACTCCATCGACAATATGTAGTGAGGTGTATAGACCATAGCATCGAATGCAGATTCTCCGTGCCGCTCTGGTTCTGATCTGAAAGCACCGCCAAAAGGGATAAAAGCAAATGATTAGAACAGGAATTAGCCCGAGGACATAAAAATCTGGGTGCTAAATACAAGCTTGTTGGCTACTGGAGGGACCGACCGCTTGGATGGTTGCCAGAGAGAGGTCTGGTCGAGTAGATAATGACGGTCATTGTATAGATGGGATGGTGGTGAGCGACAAACCTGAGAAGAATTAGCCGAGTCGGAGATGCTCAGCGAGTCCGAGATCCGACTCGGGTGATGACTGCAATTCATCATTGCTCGTTCTGTTATCCTCTCCATACACTGTTTGTCTGGTAGTATAGACACCTCTTTCTGCAATATTATCCCATCCAGCGAGATGCTTGGAATTGTCCAACACGGTGAGTGTTTTGCCAGCATCCAACTTGTAGATTGTTTTTGAAGAGAACCACGAAATTCTAAAATATCTGCTAGTACCAACGCCGAAGACCGTCAAGTTTCTAATAATTACCTAGTCTTTGGTCAAGCATTGCTCATAGCCGACACACCACAGTTTTCCATGTGAAAAGTGTATCCTCTGTCCATTTGGAGATATTTTCACTCCCTCGTATCTCGGCATCATGCTCATCCTCGGATGACCATTCGTGCTCACTAATGGTGTGCTGAAACTTCTGTCTACTTACGTTATGAATTGGTCTACTGTTCAAAGCACTAGTCCACTGATCGCAAGTCATCTGCCACATGATTGTCTTGGAAGCTGGCCATATGACCGTAGTCTATCGCCTACTCGCACAAGATGCGGGTCAAGCGGGTCTCTACCGCTCTACTTGCAAACTGCAAATGGGGAAACCTGAATCGACGCCATGCTGTGCCAGTTTACATGGTATGGGTATTGATAATGATCCTTCTGACCGAAATCGAAATCGAATTAAACGGGAACAATCAGGGTTGGAAACATCGTCACGCTTGAATGCACCACGCTAACCTGTGTCTTTCATACAAGCCTTTACACATTTTGTACTGGTGCGTTGTCACAACACTAGTGACGCTCGAGTCTAACCTCCCTTACCTATTGTATGCAGTCGAAATCAGCTTTGCCTTCAACTTCACTCGAAACGCCATGGCTGCAACTATTCTTTTCTCAAACCTAGGAAAACTCGTACCAGTCAATGAACTACCTTCTATCGTGATTAAGTATATACATGGGATGCACGCCATCGAGATGGCGCTCACTACGTTACTCTCTGCAGCTGGCACTCAGAGCGTTGAAGGTAGCAGCGAATACTTAGGAGTATTCGATGCGCATGTAGGCGACTGTTCGTGCCACATGCGCGCCCAGATGTTGTGGGAGCTCATGGAGTATGCTCGCACTCCTGGAAATGTTGAGTGGATGGAGCTTGTCGTCGACGCTGTCCGTGACTCCACAGACAAAGCGGTTGTTCTTTTGGCAAATATTCGTGCTAGAAAGGGTCGCCTTCGTGGTCTCGACCTTAGTCCTGCTTCTACTTTGACAGAAGCAAGAGTGTTTGATAAAATCGATGGCGACAAGTTCATGGCTCTTCTCGATGATACATCTACATCTACCTCCGACTACAGTGACGAATCCCTCGCAACCCCCGACGGTCTCCCTCCTTCGACTGTTCTGAACGAGAAGGAACAAGTCAATCTGCCTGAGGCTGTCCGACTTGCCTCAGAGACGCTGGGAGCCTCCCGCGACTATTTCTCTGCCAAGCAGTCTGCAAGCTCCGACAATGCCCCCGCTCCCAATTCTCCGTCAAAGCGCAAATATCGCGCAGTCGAAGTTGACGAGTGGGACTTGAAGGATCGCACCATGGTCTTACGCTTTCTCACCATTTCGCGTCTTCTCTCTCTCAAGAAAGAGATGTATTTAGAGCCTGGACCACCAGCATATATTCGTGCACGCACCAATCCTACTGCCATCTACGCCGAAGCTGAAGCACAAATTCTGGAAAAAGCTCCAGAGATCACGATCAATGCGGTGGACCGCACGAAGAAATTGATGCTTGTCAAGGACCACGAGAAGATGCAGTCGTACCTGTCCCAGCTCACTGCAAACTGGGTCTGCAAGCTTTCCGCAGATATGCTGCTCTCAAAGTCTACTCACAGGCAAGTCTCTGTCTTGGCTTGATATTATTATATGCGCTGACATCACGTACAGTTTGATTAAGAGGTCCACTATTACCAGCTCCCGCTACATATCTTGCGTGGCTTCTTATACGTCTATACTTCCCATTCGTGCAGAATGGTTTGCGAGCGGCACTCCCATTCTGTTGCTTGTCAGACGTTTTTGCTCAGAAGGCGAGACCTTTTGGTTCAATTAATCAATGCTTATTCTGACCATTAATCGAAGGCTATCATAACACCTTTTACCGTGTCAAAGCTAACTTAGCTGCATGGAATTCTTACGCTGGTTCAGACCGTATTTTTTCGCTGGGAGAGTCGGACTGGTTCTCCATCCAGCATGTGCCGCTGGAGAGTGTTCTTTCTGAGAAATGGGCCCATGTCCCTCACTTCATCTATATCTCTAACTCGACCGACGGATCACTCAGCGATTTCTACGACCGTCTAGTCGACCTCAACCAAGATCGTTTAGGAAGTAATGCACCACACAACGACGAGGGCTGCCAAGTATATATCGAACATATGAAATCTGTCGCCGAGCACAATTTCTCTCGCGCATTCATGCACTTCTTCGGTCAGCACAAGCAGTACCCTTTCTCCCTCCCCGAGCAGCGCGACGGATATGATGTTATAGGGGAGTATGTTCGCGACGCGATAGGCGCTAACGCGGAGAACGCATTTCGAGATGCTGCGTTTTCCGTAAACGACACAGGTACCACGAGCACGCGGCTGCACACTTGCATGCATGCCTATTTGGAGTTTCCAGTTATTGTTGGCCGACAGGTCTCAGAGATGACAGATCAAGGGCAGAAGCCCGCACCTTTTGGTTATACTTGGGCTCGCTAGTCTGGTTGACCCCTTTTTCTCCCTCGGTGAAATGATTGTATGGAGAATCAAATTCTCAGAAGAATTAAGTAGCGGAGTACTTTTGTTCAAAGAATAAAATCGGCTATGTGAATCAAAGTTAGCATTTTGGGCAATGTCATATGTTTTGTAAAAAAGTGCTGATACTTGATGCCAATGCAGATAATGACGTGAGATTTGGTTCTTATTCCAATTTCCTCGCTCCACGAATTATTGTTCCATATTCCACGGAGGCCAATAATAACGGAGGCCTCGAAGGCGCAGCATTCTTCTTCACAAGTTTTTGGTTCCAGCTCGTCGGTACACTCAGGAGTTGGCTAGTTTTCGGAATAGTATGGTTAATCTTATCCTCGAACTACTACTCTTCCTCTTTGTTGGGATATTTGATAAGTGGTAATCAATTATCGCCAAATAGAACAAATGCGACATAATGCTCTTGGTTTTTCTCAGCTATCTTTGGACCGCATTGTGCTCTAGCCAAGGCTCCATTTTACTTCTGTGGTAAGTATCATTTTTCTTACCTCGGTGGCATTTGACGTAACCGAGCTTTCTCAGGCGCTCAGGCTTTCTATTCAGTTATATTTTGACACTTTATCCGCTTCCGTAGCCTCGGTTAGTGATAGGGGCGAACCCCACTTGATAGTAACTATCTTCCTGATGAGATGTGTTGATTACTGACACCGGTGATCGTAGTCTTTGCGAACTTGCAAACGCGTGTCTGGACTGAAGGAGTTACGGTTCCATGGACGCCATCTGAGGAGCCCTTCCTTCGTCTAAGTTCTAAGCAATGCCTCATGACTTGGGGCGTTTAGATTAGGTCCCGTGACTCTGATGTTCGCATTCGAAGAGACGGTCATCTTCGTTATATTAAAGCTGGCCATTTCTAATACTCCTCATCGCACCCACTGTTTTCACCTCTGAACAGCAAGGATGTTCGACATATTGACCTCCTCCAATGCACTCTTGACAGTGGCCTGTGCAAGCACGGTCACCTTCCTTTACTACTTTGGTGACGACGTGCTGCGTTACATCAAGGTAGACTCTGTTCCTCTACTGTTGACACCTTGTGCTAATGCTTTGTTTAGATTTTTATTTACAACTGCGGTTATATGAAAGGTGAAGGAAAAGGTGTCATTCCTGGTCCCTGGGAAGATACGCGATTCAATCGATTCTCGCACGGGTAAGAAAGACCATAGCTTTTTATTGAGTACTCATAGACCATACTCTGCCTAAAGATCTACCCTCGCTGTTAAGTGGCGTAAACAATATGGCTCTCTTTATCGGATATTTTGTGGTTCGATACCTGAGTTGTATGTGTCCAGTATAAGTCAGCCACAAGAAACGCGCTAATATTAATACCAGTGTCGTTACGGATCCTGATGATGTCCGTAGGCTCTATTCGGGTGACTCCAGAGTCCATCTCAAGACTATCAACACTTCCTTCGGTGTCTACATGGGCAAAGTTCTTGGCAAGAGTGTCGGATTTTTGGACAGAGACGACTGGAAACGGCTCCGTTTGCACACCGACCCTCACTGGACCGCAGCGATGACCAAGGATTCCGTACCGTCGATGCTGATAGATACTACAAATTGGATCAATGTCCTCCCCATGTTGCCCATCGCCAAGCGTGATCCCACGAACGAAAAGGGCTTCATCATTGAGTCAGCAGAGCTTCAGTCCGAGTTGCCGTTCAAGATGATTGCAAGGAGGCTGTTCGGAGAAATGCTTGACGAGGAGGTGTGAACTTTTCGACATATGACTCAATTTCTGACTATGAACGCTTACCCCGCCCTTCTCCTAGCTTTTCCAAGAGCTTTACGGTCTCAACAAAGTTCATGAGCGTATCATGGCGAACGCTTTCCTGGTCGGCAAGATCCACCAGTGGAAACTTGTATCACACTTGCCAACGAAAGCCAACCGGGACAATCTCTGGTTCCAGGAGAATTGGGCGAAGCTTCTGCACCGTGTATCAAAACAAACAGTGGAGGTAAATTATTTACATCGTGAAATGTGTATTCAGAGGTTCACAGCAGTATTTTGATCTGCAGAAAGGGATTTCAAATGCCGTGTCTACTATGTATGAACTCATGCAGTCAGGAGCTATGACCTTTGACGAATTCAGTCATACTGTGGATGAAATTCTTTTCACAAACTTCGGTAAGTGCAGGTTACTTTTAATGATGAAAAGAAAAGCTCACATCTTTTATAGACGGCGCAACTATGTCCGTTTCTTGGGTAGTCACGCTTATTGCTCAGAACCCAGACTACCAAGCTCGCCTTTTCGACGAAATCCAGAGGGTGCTAAAAGATGAGAAGCTAGGGACCAATAGGAGCGAACGGCTCACCGCATATACGGTGAAAACAGACACGTGGTTACACTACTGCTGTCTCGAGGCAGCCAGACTTCATCCTGTCCTATGTATGTTCAGTACATCATATTGTGTCGAGCATCACTCATTGATAGCTACCAGACTTTGCTTTACCCGAAGTGCTTCATGAGCCGAAGATGCTCGGTGGCTACTACCTTCCGACATATAGCTCCATTATCATCGATGCTTTCACGATCAATCGCACGGCGCCGATTTGGGGCAAGGACGCCCATGTGTACAGACCCGACCGCTTCGAGGTTCTGTCTCCATCTGACTACCGTTACTCGCTCTGGCGCTTTGGCATGGGTCCTCGAAAATGCGTTGGCCAGTACTTTGGTGACAAGATGGTTAAGGTCTGCCTCTTCCAGATCATCGAGCAATTTGAGGTTTCTGCCTTCGGTAACCTAGGAATAAGGAGTGACAAGTTTGTGTCGTGTCCAGCGGCGACGTTGAGGTTCAAGCCGCGCGTGCCGGTTGCATAAGGAGTTGAGTTGTGGAACTTGAAGAATAAGCAAGGTTACTACGCATGGGGTTGCTGCTACCTTGTATCATGTATCTCTCACCATATGTGCATTAACGTGTAGTAAAATTGTAAGACTGTTTAAATGATTGCAACGAACCAAGTCCGAAAGAGCGCTACCTCAACTCCTTAGAATGTTCATAAGGCTGAGGAATAGCATTGTTACTGACGAGACAATCCTGGACTTCTACCAGTCGTGATTGTATTCAATACACCATTCAATTGATTGGTATAAGTAATACATATAACCACACAATCAATAAATTGATTACACTCCATCCAGTCAAGTAAGGTGTGCTGTCGATCATATGCGGCACGAGCAGTGACCTTGTAACATTTTCGGTCAAGAGGCGATACAGCTACTCCCATACTCCGAATAATGTCCACATTTATTTTCCAGCTGAAGCACACATTTTCTTCCAGATATTGGCCCATGTCGAGATACAACCAGTATGCGAAGGAGTGGTAGTTGCTGGTTATTTCAGAGATAATAATGAGTGAACGAACATCGCATGTACCGTATATGTCCGTTCCGTACTGATATTTCAGCTAGTCTTTTATAATGGGTGAATCCCAAAAAGAAGAGTACATAAGCTTTCTATATGACTCACAAAGCGTAATTACCCATAGAAGGGACCTTAAATGCTTTACGGTGTTGCCAGGGAGTAAATGGGATTTCCGTCGGATGACCTTTCGCAAGTAAAGGCACAGTCGTCAGAATGCCATGCAGGGAAAGAGAATATGTCCTTAAAAATGGAGGAATCGCGTAACAGCAGGAGGCGGTGTATCTGAGTGCATCAAATAGTTGAGCAGATGTATACATGTCAAATAATCATAGCACAGAACATACCATAAAAAGCTGTCTTCCACAATACGACGTTATGGCCATCTTGGAAATAATACAGTAGGTCGGTCGTGCTGTACTGCCGTTGACTCAGGCTCGGACTCAGGTTCAGCAGGTCCAGGATATTTGAGAAACGGTGGTATATACTGTGGGTCAAGCAACCTATCTGTTGTGATCCTGCCAAAAAGAAAAGAAAGAAAAAGTGGGAAGAAAGGATCGTTTGTCGCCAACAAGTGCCAGTGAAAGACAAGAATCAGGATAACAGTGCGTCACGGTGGCAGAGTGACGTCGATCACGAGACATAGTCGCGTACCGTCACACATCACACGCTTTACCTGAAATTCTTAATTTTTGCTGTCAGACTCGAACTGTCAGTGCAAAATGTTGCAGCACTAATGTCATTTCGCTCAAACCACTCCTTATATCATCTCCAAAAACGATATAAGCACACGACGAAAGTGGCCCTGGGTCATAACTGACGTTACCAGCTATGGAGGACTTATGCAGAAGAAACACAGTCAAACAATCCCTGAGATTCCTGCATCGCAACGTCCGAGTCTGCTTAGACTCTGTTAGTGACAGGCGAATACTGTTCTTGCTGTGTGTGCTTCGTTACAAGTTTTTTAAAGGTCTTTTCTCCCAGCTTCTGTCGGCACTCTTCGAATTTGACGATAATGACTCTCTATGGAAACAGGATACCGCCAACTATTGTACAACTGAATTTAATACAATGTGGTTCATCGGACTAGGAAGATCCATTGCAGAATCCATCAATTTGGCGCCTTGAGTTGTTTTTCTTTTCTTACTTTTCTTTCCTGCTCATTCTAGGCCGGCGCAACAACAACGACTATTTTGGCAACTGTGGGCGCCCACTGGCATAAACACGTTGAATCTTTGTGTATCTAAGTTATAACCCTTCTCCCACTCAAACCACCAGGACCTAAAAATTCGACTGCTCAGAAATCTACATGCCCTACAATACTGACAATGTTTCTCCAGCTCGATGGGGCTTGGATATGTCTATATTCGACCAACAACGGCTGGCCTCGGGGGATGCTCTGAATCAATCGGTGGAAATATTCGAGAGCCTCCTTGATGGAAGGAGCATTGGTGTGTTGGCGGAATGCCTACTTTCTCATGTTCATCTTTTTGAGTTGGTTGTCTCAGGCAAGCAGTGTTCAATAGATACCCCTATAGATCTACTGATCACTTGTACTGTATAGCGATGAGCGACGATAGCTACAGATTTCTACGCCAATGGATAGTGGATTGCTATCCATCAAATCCCAAAGAATTCACAGGGTCCATCCACGCTAAGATCCTTTCACAGCTTTCACTCTCTTTATTGTTCTTAGTGTATCCGGCCGACGAGCCTTCCAATCTAGTTGAATGTCGTCGGTCGGTGCAATTGGTGCATCCTGTCCTGGATGCTATCCCTTCCCTTGCATTCACAGGCGGTCCGGGAGCCTCTTCTGAGCAAACCCGTGAAAGATCTGCTGGAAAGCCTCAAAGAAATCGGCGTCATCTGAACAAAGGCAAGCGTGGCGTCGATAATCTCGCCACAGACGTGACACTTTTTCAAGCTGCGAAAGTCGACGTTCCCAACTCCCGCGAAGAAGGCTACGCCCTGGCTTCAAGTCTCCTGAAAGATCAAGAAAGGATTTTGCAGGTGCGGATCTCTGCAATATCAGTGCCTCATTGGTTCATCGGCACTTGTTGACAGTATTACCTTGATATCCTGAGACGACCACTGCTTTGCGGTGTCTTGTATCAGAGTTACATTCGTCCTAAGCTGAGGAATATATCGCGGGCTCGTCCCTCAATTCAAACTGATATCACCGACTCGGACGACACCTCCAAACCCGCAGACGAAATAGACTCTGCTCATCCGTACGTTCAGCCTCTGAAAGCAGCATTGTATTTCGAGAACGCTACTGGCTTTGGAGAGTGGCAGATATGGGTGTCTTCTCGCGCGAATGGTGACCTACGAGAAGCCCGTCGGCAAGATAGAAAATCATTTGCCATCATTATCAAAAAGATCAAGTTTGTCGTTTGAGCAAGGGCTAGTTGTGAATATCTCCCATTGATTGTTTGCATGTGTAGGGAACTATCGAACGGACATTTCTCAAACGATAATCAGAAAAGGCTAGGAGGCGCTGGCGCTGGTGTCCCTATCTATGAAGCGAAAATGACTCGCGATAAGCGTCTAGTAGTAAGTTTCGCCGGTTTAGTATCAGACTTACAAAATTATACTCATCGCTGTTCCTCAGTATCATATCGATTGTAGACAAAGATATGACAATGATGTCAGTCCTTTTTTATCTTGTGATCTGAATATCATCTGATCACTTAATATAGTTCGAGCAACAAGGTTAGGGATTTCCAGTATTTTGTGCCTTTGCCTCCTTCTTGAGCCTTATTCAACAGTGATTCGAATTTTTGGTATATATACACATGCCCAGATGGACGATCGTCTATGGAACTCGGTATCATATCACCTCGCCAAACAAGGAAAGGAGTATAAACTTCGGTATTTCATCCGAACTTCGTCTTCGCATTTTCATACTGAATTACGGTTTTTAGCTGTACGTTACAAAAGGAACCCAGTCATGCGCCAAATAATATCGTTTTGCCGGCATCTTTCCCTCCCCAAGAGACAGTAGGAAAGGCAACTGTGTCACCGATGTTAGCTATTCCTGAAGAGCACTGGGAGGAGGTGAGCGTTCTAGTTTCGTATATCGTATTTGGGTGTAACTGCTGATAACTATGTTCTAGCTAAATTCCCTGTTGATGTATGTTTGTTATATTTTTGCAGATGATTACTGTTGATCATATCGTGCTGACAGGGGGGATAAACTATACATTTTATCTCAAGTACGCATGTTTAAGGCTTTCATTCCGTTTCTGTTTTCTAACATGCTTTCAATCCTAGGAGCTGTTGAACAGTTTGTAACATTCGCCTTTGGCAATCAGCAGGTCATTAAATGTCGCCTTTCATAGGTATTGTCGCTGATCGTGATGTGGCTCATGTCTTTGCGGTATCGTTAGTCTCAGCAATTCTGGCTTGTGACTTTTCTATATACTAACTCGTTCGTGATGTAGCCCAAAAGAAAATGAAATCATCGAGCACACTTCATCGTCTTTTGTGATAGGCCGCAGCGGGACCGGGTACGTCTTTATATAAGTTTGTGGCTTTGTCCCATCTGCCTGATTAACGTCTATTGATAGCAAAACTACGACGATGCTTTTCAAAATGCTCGGTATGGAACGATTGTGGGAACTCCATGCTGATACAATGGCGAAACCACGCCAAGTTTTTGTCACGCGTTCGCGCGTTTTAGCTGGGAAAGTGAATGAATACTTTACCAAATTGATGGAATCGTTGGCATTACAGGGTTTGTCAGCGAAGGAACTAGCAGAAATGGATCATATTTCATCGCAACGCGAGAAGGAACTCATTAACATTGATGAAATCGACTGGCGCAGTGACCTTCCCTCGAGCTTCAGTCTCCTCCAGGATGAGCACTTTCCTCTGTTTGTCACGTTTGATCGCGTGAGCAAGCTCTCTCGTGACTACCGTCGCTGAGATAAACTATAAACTCTTATTTCATAGCTTTGTGCACTGCTGGAAGCTGATGCGATGACCTCGCAGAATGGCACCAATCAGTATCCTGACCGAGAAACTCGCTTTTCACGATTAAAGAGTGACATTGATCATTCCACAATAACTTTTGATGATTTTCTGCAGCACTGTTGGCGTCATCTCCCACAGCTGCTGAAAAAAGGCCTAGGTATGAATCCATTTATTCATATTCAATCGTTGGATGACATCTTATCTACCCTAGAACCCTCTTTGGTTTTTAGCGAATTCATTGGTGCGCGTGACCCTGCATGCATTTATGCTGATGTAGTAATTGAGGAACAACACAGGTGTTATCAAGGGTTCAGAGGAATCTCTTTCCATGCCAGAGCGGTACCTCGACGTGGACACATATATAAAGTTTAGCCATCGATCGCAATCGACTTTTGCATTGCAACGAGGTCCAGTTTATGAACTATTCGAACATTATCAGAAATGGAAGCAGCAGCAAGGTGTACGTGATGCTGCTGACAGGTGAGTTGCCTTGACCTATCTTCTGCATCTATACTGATAACGCACCTATGAGATGTCATACATTGTTAGATTTCATATCTAAAGACGGACTACCAGGGCAGCGGATCGACTATCTGTATGTCTTCGCTATTTTATGGTCTCGATGATTTACCGTTTTACAGGTACGTCGATGAAGTTCAGGACAACCTTTTAATCGATGCCTTGTGTGAGTTTCCCAATCGGTGTGTGTCGTTGAAAAGTAAACATGAATACGTGACCATAGTACTTCGGGCACTCTGCAAAAACCCGGAGGGTATGTTTTGGGCAGGAGACACAGCACAGGTGGTTATCTACGAGATTATATTTGCACTTAAACACTGATGGCTATCTGAACGCTGCACGCTACGATCAGGCTATTTCTGTTGGAAGCGCGTTTAATTTCAATTCTTTAAAGGCAATGCTGTACCGAGCAGAGGTTAGTGTCGTGCTGACCTATTCCTTCACAACTAAGGCGCTTTGAATTATAGGAGTACTACCGACAAATCAATGAAGTACTTCGCGCTCCAATTCCACCCCGCACCTTCCAGCTTGCTGTCAACTATCGATCTCATAGTGGTATCGTGGAATGCGCACAATCGGTTGTATCACTTATCACGCAGTTCTTTCCTGACGCGATAGATGTTCTTCCTGATGAAAAAGGACTGGTTGATGGCGCGAAACCCATCTTTTTTACGGGAGAGAACGAGAATTCTGTTGAATTTGACCATTTCTTCTCCACGAACAGGTATGAAATTTAAATTTGGGCGGATGTTAATCGGATCTCACTGTCTATCATGTAATTATAGTGGCACCGAGATTGAACTCGGCGCACGACAGTGTAAGACATATTGCGTACAATCACTCTCCTTCTTGACAGATTATATAGGTATCCTCGTCCGTAATGACGCTGCCAGGGAACAGCTGCCCAGTGAGATTAAGAACATGGGATTAGTTATGTACGTCGATCTACGCTCAGAGTTTTTATTCTCACTAACTGTTTCAAAGGACGTTGTACGACAGCAAAGGGTCCGAATTTGATGACGTTGGTGTGATAATATATACAACTACCTCTAGTACTAATTATTATCAACGTCAGGTCTTGCTTTACAATTTTTTCAGAGACTCGTCTGTTGATCTTTCTCAATTCCGGGTCCTTCTCAACTCGCTTGAAGAAAATTTATCGATATCAGCACCAAGATTCGATGAACTACGACATGCCGGTGTGTGCAGCGAGGTAAAGGCACTACTTCTGTTTTATTTTCAGGTTCCTATTTTCTCCTGATTAGCTTAAGTTTTTATATGTCGCCATCACTCGTGCGCGAAACAACTTGTGGATAGTTGATAGCTCGGTAAAAGCAGAGCCTATGAAGGTGTGCGAGTTATACATGCTAATTTCCGAATATGAATTAAGGGAATGTCATTAGGTTATCTGGAAAACCCTTGATCTCGTTGAAATTTGTACACGAGGCGTAGATATCGCTCAGCTGGCTGTTCATTCTACTCCAGAGGACTGGGGGAAATCAGGCTGGAAATTTTTTGAAAAAAACCTCTACACTCAGGCATGGCACTGTTTTAAGAAGGCTGGCCTGTCACGAGAAGGGGACGTCGCACATGCTTATCATCTTCGGAAACTAGCTGAGGCCAACCCGCAGAGCCACCCACAGCACTCAGAATATTTCAAGGCTCCAGCTGAAAAATTCATTCACTGCGTGTCTTCTTCTAACACAACTAACGAGGAGCACGCGTATTTGAAGGCAGCCGGGGAGTGCTTTGTACACAGCGGCCATGATGCAAGAGCAGTTGAAGCTTTTCTAGATGCAACTGAATATACACGTGCTGCGCTACATTGCGAAGATATAGGCAAGTTCCACGAAGCCCTTGAAATCATCAATATGCATAAGGTGCAAATGGAGCGAGCTGTTGTTATTCAAATCATCCACGCCTCAAAAATTTATTACCTCAAGAAGAACCAGCTTGAGTGAGTCTTATTTCATTGCGGATGCATGAGGCTGACGGGCAATAATTCAGTGAAGCTATGAAACTCTTCAAAGGCGAAGATGAGGCACTGTCCTTCATGGCAAAGTACGATCTGGAAGCGCCTCGTATAACCTTACTGTGTAGAATGGGAAAGTTTGCGGATGCCGCAGAACTCCATTTGGTGAAAGGCCGATACCTGGAGGCAATTCAGCTTTTCATTGAAGATGCGGGCAGTTCCTACTCGACATGCAAGGCTAGAGAATGCATAGTACATTGTCTATGGCGACATATGTCATTCGGGACAGCAAATTCTGATAAAGACGCTGTTCGAGTCTTGTTAGATATGTACAACCAATTACATGTCGAGCCAGGGGAAACAGAGGAAAATGACGAGGTAACTCATTTGCGAATCAATTATTTTCCCTACTCATCCCTGCAAACCAATAGATCACCATGTTCAAAGCGATGGTCTGCCAAGATTCCGTTTCATTGTTACATCTTGGACAGAAGCTGGCTGAGAACAACATTGCTGTATCGTTACACAGCCTCGATGCCGCACTCGCAGAGACACTGGTTGACCCCCTCCAGGCGACGGAAGTTGCGGCACGCTTAGACTTTTTTTTAATCTATGCTAAACTTCTTCGGGATGCTGTACACAGCGAAGATCCATATCGCTCCCCTCACCTTCAGAAACTCTTTAATTTTTCTGTCACATCGGATAGGATGATCATCATTCCAGGGGGCACTCTCCTGCACTCCAAATGCAAACACAGCGCCTCAATTAACTCTCAAATTGGCGACAATAGATATATGTTATCCATCCCCGAATTTCAACGACTCTATCGAGAAGTCTTATCTTTCCGACTACGGACGAGAGTTGTGAAAGAGACTTCCGCCTTTGAGGGAAAGTGGGCTTTGCTGCCATCTCTTCGGTCCTCTCCACACATAAAAGGAGATTACGCCACCAATATCAATGGAGCTGTGAACGGCGTATATCATTCTCACGTTCGACTGCACTTGCAACAGGTTCTCGTGGTTGATACTTTAGCGTCTTTTCGATCCGTTCAAGGGCCTGAAGTGCGGAAGCTACACCTGTAAGTTCTGGTTCTCGTTACATGTCAACACACAAACTTACAACAAGGATCGATAAGCAACTGGATCACCCGTTTGTATTGGGTTCTTCATTCCCCTCATACCTCAGGACACATTGTCAAACTGTGTATGAGTGGCATACCGGAGGCCCAAAAGGGATTCCAAGTTCTCGTACAGTGGCTGCATGATATATTTCGCACTCTGGACCCTTCTCATGAGTTGTTCGTGTCCACAGCATCAATAGTCGCCAAGTTGAGCTTGGATGTTACTCCGCATTGCCTGTTGAGCCTGGGTATCAATTCACATTACAAAGGCAGGACGCCTTTCTCGTCTTTGAGAGGGATGCTCAAAGAAGGAGAAAGCTGGATCATTATTCGCGACCTCCTGGATTTTCTAGAAAATGACGAATACTCGATAGTCGGCGGAATTCATGTTATTGAGTGAGTCATAGATTTTTATGCCGTCCCAGCTATCCCTTAACTGATATATCTTCACTGAAAAGGAAAATCTTGCAAGAAAAGCACATTTTCAATCTTGATGTCTTATGTGACTTTGCTGATCATGTGTGCGCTTCAACTGTCGTTCACTCCCTGCTTGCGGAGAACTCTACGTTAAAAGATATTATGCTGCCCCGCAATCCCCTCATTACCGTCCTGGAACAGTTCAATAGCACTCGCAGAGATACGACATTCACGCCAAGGTTCAAAAAGTGCATGATGATACTTTTAAGAAGGCTGTACTGCAAAGTCTACTTTGGTGTGTCTGTGAACGCTTTTGTCGTACCTGACTAATATCATCATTGGGAATTTAGACCACCTTCATTATGAAGGGAAAAGTCTACCAAACTGCAGCGAAGAAATTCGTGATGTCTTCATAGCTCGCATGTAAGTCTTAATCTCCCTCTAATGTTCAAATTCGAGTACTCAACTAGAATACCATTTTAGCTGTCGATGCCTGTGTTTCCGTGAGTTATCTCTATGCATATTAGTTCGACGTCAAGCTGATCGAAATTTCTAGTCGAATATAACTTGAGCCTTCTTGGCCCCGATGAAAATGAAAGGCTAAAAGAAGTTCTTACATCGCTGGCTTCTTCTCAGGAAAAGAGAAGCTTGCTATCTAACATTTGTTCTATGTATGTATCCATTATTCGATACGTAACAAGATATTTACATTTATATTTAGGTATGCTTCTGTTCATGGATATGTAGAGCTTGCGGGACTACTAGGCCAGCCCTCGCCAGAGCAGGAGCTTGACGATATTATACAACTTCGCGATTTTCATTGCGACTCATCCGACAACTCCAATCCTCATGGTGTCCGTTCGGTAACATACAATTCTTTTCAGGCTGAAGATACGACTCGGCTGCTCCAGAAACTCAAATTGTCAACGCAGCGACCGTGGTTGGGCACCCACCATCCACTGGCAGGGGGTATACAGACAAGTCGTCCGCAATTGTCAAACTCTTCGGACACAAAGCATATACCCACCACGTCTCTGGACGGTTCTCTAGCTATATCTGAACCTAACAGTGTGAAAGCTGACGGCAAAGAAGCCGATGCCACGGTTGGAGTCGAGGATGTTGTCTCGGACATGGTGTAGTAATGTAGTATTAGTTGTTGTATTTGTATGCAAACTGTAGAAACTCCTTTTGTTATCTACCAATGATTATGCAGATATGGACGGATTGTGTGTTGTGCTACCAGTACGAGTAGCTGCTAAAAGTGGAATCGTCCTGTACAGTCGCGGCTGCACGTGGTGTCACACTACAGTACTAGAAAATTCCACTATATGTCCAGCCATGAGCTCAGCTCAAACCTTTACAGCGTCCGTCTTCAACCACGATGGCACTGAGGTGAGCTGAAATGTCGCCCTACACATTCTTCAACCATCTCAACTTCATAACCTTTACTGCAAAGACACGAGTTCTACGAAACTGAAGAAAAGCTCACGATATCCGTCTTCGATCGAGGCGCCGATCCCGAACAAGTGACAGTCAAGTTTGAGCCACGCACGGTATGGTCTTGCCTCTTGCCACTTAGCTTTCACTGGGTTTCATATGCTGATATTTGGATATCTTATCTATCTCTAGTTGACTTACGAGCATGGTACCAAATCGCTGTCTCTGCAGCCCCTGAAAGGCGAAATCGACACCGAAAAAAGTGATTACACGGTCGGCAAGGTCAAAGTTGAAATACGCCTAGTCAAAGCGAGTCTCGGGCGGTGGGGCCAGCTGACAGGCGACTCACCTCAGCGTAAGCGCGGTCCAAATTCACTCATAAACATCGTCCCAGCATCATTGAACTCTCCTTCTCCCTGTTAGCCGTGGCGACATTTACCCCCACACCTACAGTTGCCGCTACCAGGCAGCGAAAGAACTGGGAGGGGATCACGAGCCAGATTCTTACCGGTGAAAAAGAGAAGACGTCAGAAGAGGACCCAAATGTGGGAGGTGATGGCGCTGTCAACTCTTTCTTCCAGAAGATATTCGCCGACTCGGATGAGGACACGCGACGTGCGATGATGAAGAGCTATCAGGAAAGTGGGGGAACCACTTTAAGTACAAATTGGAATGATGTGAAGAAGGCACCGGTAGAAGTGAAGCCGCCTTCTGGAAGTGAGTGGAAAAAATGGGATTAGGAACTGTCTACGCGACGTATACAAAACAGATCACATCTGCTGTTCATACTAGATAGCTTTTCTTTCGCTCTCATCGCTGACTCGTTTCGCATTGCTGCTCGTATTGGCGGCTAAATCAAGGATGGCTCACTTTGCTGTACTTGAGGCACTGAATAGAACATGGATACAATATATGCGACGTATGCAAAACAGGTCACAACTACTGTTCCCACTAACTTGTCCCTTTAACAGTCAGCAGGGGCGAAGTAACGCAACTCTGGAAGATGGCTTTGGGAGCGGGTCCTGTATTACGAAAAATTGAGATCAAAATCGAAGGTGGCAGCACTGCTCGAGCCTGAGTGGGTTTACGATCTCTAAGAGAGTGTGGAGGAGATTTCAAGTGTCCTTACAAGTCTTCAAAAACGCGAATTTTGGCTAGAGCACATACCAACTATGTGGGCCGGATGTGTCTAAACGTTCTGTATAATCATGTTAGCATCTGGAAAATACCATGAGTAAAGTTCAAGCTTATTGTTATGCGGTTAAAAGTCTCAAGGTTCTCTTTGGCCAAATTAATCATTGTCCTGATATCGTCACCCATCTTATCCTGCTTTGAGTGCCGCATCAGGAAAACGGTTGATTCCTGCTATTGCCTGATGGTGTTTGGCAAACATTAGCATACAGATACCCTCATTGGATGAGTTTGGCATAGATTAGCAGAATATAGCAGGTTCAGCATGTAGAAATTATATTACGTAAGCGAACTTCGGAGCTTCGCCCGAAGATTTACTCTGTGATTATAACCGGCTTTTTGTGGCCACCATTGTTCTTTCACATGATATTTACATATGTTTATTATATAAGAAGCATGTATTTACATTGTTACGGCATTTGTTTGCCAAAGGAATCCTTCTCCCATGCCTATTCCCGCGCCCTGAGGGACCAAATATCCAACACAGCAGCAGATTGCATGATATGGCCCAGGTGTGTATTTTCTGTGACACAATATATGTATTTGTACGTAATGGTATGTATATATAACAGTGGTTGGGTTGTCTGGTATGAGAGCATCAAACAACATGGCTTGGATGGTAACCTAAACAAGGTAGAGCAGTATTGTCATAGGTGTCAAGAGGTTGTCGATAGCTGCCAGGCTGCCATCCGTAAAATCTGATAGTAGAATTCAAGTTGAAAATTTTGGGTTATTTAACAGAGAGGGTCGGGTAGAAAACCCTCCTGGCAGCTTCAACACTCTAGGATGCTCAGCAATGACTTTACAGAAACTAAGAAATCTTAAAATAAGGGTATATATTATATTTTATACTATGAATCTAAGTTGGTATTGTTGCTAAGTGGTTAAGTTGTGTATTGCGCTCGAGTTGTCAAGTCTTTGAGTGGCTTTAGTTCAAATCCCTCCTGTGAATTTGAAAATATAATAATCCTATGAGTGTGCAAATAGAAGCAATTAAGGCAACAACAATGGTAAATAAAATCATATAATGTATTCCAACACCTTAATAAAAGGGTGACAGAAAATAAATGTGACATCACACAGAATACAATATGCTAGTTGAGGAGAGTGAACAGGTTTTTTTTGTACATCCCCTGGTATAGATGTCGTCACAATTACGGAACCTGCTGGGCCTGCTGGCTCCTGCTAAGAGTTTACATAGGCTTAGCAGATTTTTTTTGATTTTTGTGATGGCACATCATCAGCAGATGGATGGGAATTCCCAATAAAAGGTTTCATACAAGGTCTGGCATAGGTGTCATCATCCTGCCTCTGCTGGTGCTGCTGGCTCCTGCTGAGGCATTACATGACCTTGGCAGAATTTTTTTGGTTTTGTGATGGTGGAAACACTGCAATTCCTTTGTATACACTTTGTGACTTGGAAGGGTTTTAATGCTCGATGTATTTGACTCGGACACGTGAAAAGAGCAGATACTTGAATAAATAACATTCTGCTCTCGCCTCAGCCGGCTAACATTATTGGCAATATTTAGAATGACAGTGCGCATCCTAGATATGTTCTCTGACATCTGTTGTTGGGACAAGACCAATCTGGCTACATCTTCCTGGAGGCTACCAAGTTTGCTTTGATCCTGAGAAACCATTCGAACGATGGAACCAGGACTGCCTTTGCCGTTGAGTATTGTTATGATCTCGCTGATTGAAGCCAACCATTTGATACAAAATATCAAGCTGCACTTTACAGCAAAGAGGCTTTCCTTTACACGGGGATTGAAATATGAACCCACGACCTTAATATCTGATAGTTACTACTTTCTACAATCACCAAGTCCTTTCAAGTTCAACATTAGCCCATCCGACACAAGCACTGCTACCTATCAATTTTGCTGGACTAGATATTACCTCAGGACTGGCCGCGCTAGATTTACCTGATTCCCCAAACACCTTCCCTACCTTCCACGCTTCCCTTCTTGAACCCCATGTTGCCAATGACAACAACCTTTTCCCCTCCCGGGCCTTTGTCCGCTCAGGCCCTGTTTTCACTGCAGGCGGTCAAGAAGAATCATTCATTGACCACATATCCAAAAAGTGTTATATTGGCTGTGGAAAACAGTATCTTGCTCAATGGCTGGGTTACCCACCGGAACATGATGAATGGATAAAACATGCTGATCTTGAAAACTGTCAGGCCATGGACAACTGGATCAATGAGCAATATTTGAACGAGAGGGACGGGGAGGGTGTAAGCTAGGCTCACACAAATGACATCATGACAACATGATGTCATGTTGCATCATACCTCTGAATGCCAGAAGTATTGGAATCCTACATTTACTATATAACATATTCATTTGCTACTCTGTAAATTAGACTAGTCTTTCCCCTTTGCTATCATATCCTGATTCCAGTTCTGTTTGTCTCCTCTGTTAGTGTTTCCACCCTTTGGTGGTTTTTCAATTTGCTTATTCTGTAGTTTACATGGGATGGACATGAAAAGCCTTATTGATCAATAACATTTCCCTGGTGTAAATGTTGCGATCATAATTAGCTATTAACTTCACCAGATCTCTCCTCTTTGCGTTCCACACAGAGTAGGCTTCTTTGCATTCCTTTGAGAGTGTTTTGATTGCCTCCCTGTTCTAACTCATTCTCTCTTTCCACTGTCCCAATTTTGAGTCCAAGATTCTCTGCACTCTGGGAAAAGAAACATAGGTTGGCCACAATAGTACCAAAGGACTGTAAGGAGCGTCTGGCCAGGCAGTGAGATGATACTCAGAGGAACTTGAAGTCTCCCTTGCAATAGAGTGTGAAGTTACAAGGCATGAGTTGAAACCTCAATAAGAAGCAGATTACTACAGGAATAAAACAGTAGTAGCCATCCCAGCTTAGTCCTAATATGTAACTAAAAGATTGACTTTTAGCTTCTATAAAGTGAAGCTATTATATTTATAGTGTTTGAAAACCCATGTTTGTAACAGTTGTACTAAATAATTACTTATTATTTGTAAAAAATATATATTGATTTAATATTGGTATTTTAAATCCCAATTTGGAGTTTGTGACATCCATTAGCTTGCTGATACACAAAAACCTAGTCATAAAATAATCACACTAACTTACAAAACAGCCTTTGTTGCACTTGCTGTTATATGACTGTTATGTGACTATTCTGTGACCACATTTTTCAGTATCAGCAAGCTAACAGATGTCACAGATTCAAAGTTGAAACTCAAAATACTAACAATTAACCATAACAAAGGCTGGTTTGTGGCTAGGGTTTTAAGTATTAGCAAGCTAACAAATGTCATTAACTTAAAGCTAAAGCTCAAAATAATAACATTAAACTACTATTGAACTAGTACATCTTTTATACAAATAATCAACAATTACATAGTAAAAGTGTTATAAATATAGTTGTTTAAACACTAAAAAAATAACAGCTTGGCTAAATGAAAACTGAGAGTCCACCTTTTAATTACATATTAGAAGCAAGCTGGTCTGGTTGTTACTGTTTTATTCCTGTGGTGAGATGTAGAAAGCGCCAGGGAGAATGATTTGTGAGGAGTTGACTGAGAAGATTATTAGGCAACCAGCTGACATCAAGTTTGTAGGTGAGGATTTACCACATTTCTCCTACAACCACTTGCAGGTTCAACCCCCCTACTGACCTCACCCCTGCCCTTGTTGACTGTATTGTCCTCGATGATTTCTAAGAGGTAACATTCTGAATCTGATCCTAGATCTTGTGAACCACACAAGTTGTTGACTTACCATTGTGTGCCACAGAATTCAGGTAGGTTAACTCCTCCTTAGAGGATGCTTTACCTGGTGGTCTGTGCAAAATATTTTTCCTTGTGGACTGTTTTGTGGGTTTTTGAGGAGACATCTTTGCCTTCAGGGCTTGTCCAAAAGCCTCTTGTGAGGCAAAGAAGGCTTCAATTTCCTCCATTGCTTTGTTGTATTGACTTCCAAGTCATTATCGCTGTTTTTATTGGAAAGGATTACTTGTGAGGTTATGTACTTTCCAGATTACATCTCTTGTAGGACTGTATATGTCTTCCAAGCTTGTAAATACCCATTTATATCTTATATCTGACAATAGTATTACCAGGCTGATTCATTTTCACACGAATACGCCCACTCTAAACCTTGTCGCTCCAGTTGCAATTACAAGTCAAGGTTGGTGAACTCTTTGCAGTTATGTAGAAAAACAAGTATAATGCAAATGAAGCAAATTAGTAGATTAGTGTAAAGACCCTAGCTGTTATGCCGGTAACCCGAGCAGCGTAGGACTTAAATCACAACAAGTGTCTGACAAGCAAGTATAAGAGTAAATCTACAACTGGGGTATGTACATGGATATCGTGCTAGTTATATAGAAGAAGGCATGAGGTTACGGTGAGGTATGACGTAGCGTATTGGTCAGTAACATGTGTAATGCGTGAGGCTGATTGGTAATGAGTATTACTAATGTGTCACGTGATTACTAGATAAGATAAGATCAAAGAGAGATTAGATTAGGTGAGATAATAGTCTCTATCTCGCGATTAGATAAAAAGGATGAGTCAGATGGATACGATCGTGACATTACCCCCTCCTTAGGACTTTCGTCCCGAAAGTGAGAGTCTAGCTTTCCGGTTTCCCAGTTATATAAGGATTTTTGAATACGAGTTGGGATGGTGAGGTTTTCGAATGGTTGGTAATTTAGAGTAAATTCTATCCTTCGGGGTGCACTAGGGTTTTTATCATGAAACTGTTTTACGAGTTTTGGTGAGTGTGTTAGGTTGGATTCGGGTTCCCACGTGCGATCCTCTTTTGGAAAGTCTTTCCAATGTACCAAATATTCTAGTTTCCCATGTTTCAATCGTGAGTCTAGAACCTCTTCTA